CTTAGAGATTTTTTGGATCTTCATCTGATCAAAAAAAGGCAAAATTTTTTAAAATGGGGGAGAGAGACCATCTCTGACCATTCACGCCGCCTTGGTTACAACAATACACTTTAAACTTGATTTTACCCTTTTCCAGTCAAAAGTAGTAATTCTAAAGAAAACCTCGATGAAAACATTAAAACGAATTAATTTCGATTATACATTTCAAGTGAAACGTAACATTGCAAAGAAGATTGAGAAAGAGATAATATTCTTTAAAAACAGACGTTTCACGTAGGATTTCAGAATATTCTAAAAAGAATATTCTTCAAGTAAAAGTTCAGAATATTCTAAAAAAATTGGCCAGAATACTTTTTGATCCATTAATATCCTGTAAGCTTCCTAATTTTTGAGAAAAAAGGCCTCAAATCCGTGATTTTAAGACTCTATGTGATTTTTTCAAGAGTTAGAAATTATATGTTCAAGTTTTTGAGAAAAGGGGCTTCAAGGGCAAGGAAAAGCCCTAAAAGCTTAATTTTAGTCCTCTAAGCCAATATTTCTCAAAAAACTAGGGACTAGAAGCTTTCAGAAATTGGCCTGGTGGATCAAAATAAATCCTGGCCAATTTTCAAAAAAATCCTCGATCAAAATTACCTTCCTTAGGCGTATAGAAAAGCATGTGGAGAAAAATTCAAACTACATTCTCCTGAAATTAAAAAAAATAAGGATAAAAAATTTCTTTTTGAGAAAAGTGGTCTCGAGGTCAAGGAAAAAGCCCTAGACGCTCAATTTTAGCCCTTCAAGCCATTTTTTTAAAATATAGACTAGAAACTTCAGAAATTGGTCTGGTGGATCAAAATAAATCCTGGACAATTTCCAAAAAAATCTAGATGAAAAATTACCTTTTTTTATGCGTATAGAAAAAGCATATCGAGAAAATTTAAAATTAAATTCAGTTGAAATAAAAATAAAATAAATGATCTTTTATGGATAAAAAGCTCATAAATGGCCTAAAACTCAAAAAATCAGTACAAAAATGACTTAAAACTCAAAAAATCCGTATACAAATGATCTAAAAGTCAAAAAATCAGTATATAAATGACCTAAAACTCGAAAAAAATCAATATACAAATGGCCCAAAACTCAAAAAATCAGTATAATCAGTATATTTATTTCTTTTCGGTATGAAAATATAGGTAATTTATCACAAAAAATGCATTTTTCTTGATTTTTGTCAAGAGTTTGTAAAACAAGACAAAACTACAACACAAAAGAAAAATAGGAATCTAAAAAAATAAGAATAAAAACTTCCTGAAGGCTCTGAAAATCTTCAACTCGAAATAAAAACCTGAAGGAAACCACTAAAGCGACCCCTAGGGGAAGCTTTTCCCGTAGTCGGGAGCCTCAAAACATCGGGGCGGTCAAAACTTCTCGAGAGCCTTCGCCAAACAGTGCAACTGCTTTCTCTCTCCACGCAACATAGAACACAAATAGATGCCCCTCGGTCACTCAAGTGACCACTTCGGGAGCTAGTAAAGATAGGTTGTTGAGTAGCTTCTCGAAAAGGAAGGGATAGCCCATGAAAATTGAAAAAACTTTGTTAAATGGATAGTTTCGGCTAAATTTTAGATAAAGTTTATATTAGGAAAAACAAAAACCAGGCAATGTCTCAAAATTCAAAAAGTCAGCAAGTCCTGGAATTATCCATAGAGCGCACAAACACAGAAAAAACGGCTTTCATCTAAAAAATAAAATTCTTAACTTGTAAATTGGAAAAAAACAAAGAGAGTTGTGCGTCAGAGCGTCTTACTAGGGCGTGTTTTAAAGTCACGTGAATGAACTATAACAAATTTACGTTCTAAATTCTGGGAAAAGATCCAGTCCAACTTAACGCGAAATCTCTAACAAAATGACCATAGTTATCATCTTTTTTGGGGAACTGAGAGTGTTGTGCGTCAGAGCGTCTTTTTAGGGCGTGTTTTGAAATCATACAAGTGAATTAAACCTACTTTACATTTCAAAATTCTGAAAAAAAAGAGCCAGCACAACCTAACACGGAAAAGGGCTCCAAAAGGACCACATTTACCATCTTCTGTAGAACTAAAACTGTTGTGCGTCAGAGCGTCTTACTAGGGCGTGTTTTAAAGTGGTATGAATGAACTATACTCACTAGTTGCCCTAAAGCTCAAAAATTAACTTTTTGAAAGCAAAATCAAATCAACAAATAAGAAGCTGCAACAAAACGACCACATATACCGTCTTTTTGTGAAACTAAAACTATCGTGCGTCAGAGCGTCTTACTAGGGCGTGTTTTGAAGTCATAAAACAATCTATACCTACTATACGTACTAAATTCCGCACAAATGAGCCAAGACATTCTAACACGAAAAAACGGCTCCAAAATGACCACACATCTTGTCACCATTTATTTTTTCTTCGTCTTATTCTCATTCTCGTTTTTCTTGTCGTCGGTGGGCCGAAAGCTTAGATCACAGGCGTCCGAACAAGCTCGAGAACAAGCGGAAAAGCGGCTCGTTTCTTTGCTCAGGAGGGAGGGGAAGATTCCAAGAGCCCAAGAGCATGATAAAGACAACCGCTAATCGGGCGGTGATTCATCTGGAGATTGGTCAGGTTCTTTTTTTCTGGATTCTTCTGGACCTTTTTCAGAACTCTAGAGGCGACAGATCGAGAGAAAGTTGGAAAAAGGATTCAAAATTTTTGAGAAATGAGAAAAATGATTTGAAACTTTTGAACAATCTGACCGGTGAGAGAAAAGAGACGCAGACAGGTCAGACAGTTTTAAGCCGTAACGAATGAACTTTCACACAAGTAGAAGTTTCTAAAAGCTTCAGGAAAATCTTAACGATTGCCTACAAGAAAAAAGGTTCCATGAAAATATTATGATTTATTTTTAAATTGAAGCCTTGAAAAATTCCCCGAGCATCTACCTTCTGAAACCTACACCCAACTACTGAAAAATCTAGCCTTGAAAAAAAAATGTCTCAAGGTCCCTGTAAGTAAACGAAGCGAACAGAAGCCCTAACTACATTAAAAACTTATTATTTATAGTCCAAAGTCTTGGAAATTTCCAGAAGAAGAGCATCTACCTTCTGAAACCTAACCCTAGCTATTGAAAAATCTGCTTTTAAAAAATACACTTTTTAACGTCTCTATAAGGAAATGAAGCCAACGGAAGCTCTATCTTCATTAAAAACTTATGATTTATAGCCCGAAGTCTTAAAAAATCCCAGCAGATAAGCAAAAAACCTCTACAACTACTCAAAGACGCCCTTAGAAGTCTTATCTTCATGGAAACCTGGGATTCATATTCCAATGTCTTGAAAAGCAGAAGTTGAGCATCTACTTTCTGAAACCTACACTCACCAGAACCCCTTACTTCTTTGACAGAAACATGGTTCATAGTCCAAAGCCTTTATAAACTCCAAGAGGAGCATCTACTTTCTGAAACCTAAGCCTAACTACTGGAACTAGTCTTCGCCAAGCAATGAAGCCAAGAGAAGCCCTAAAATCCATGAAACTTATGATTTATAGTCCAAAGTCCTGAAAAATTTCTGAAAAAGAGCATCTACTTTCTGAAACCCACACCTAACTACTTGAAAGCCTAGTCTAAACAGCTTTTTTTTTTTCTTTTTTCCAAAGACATGGACCAAACCGAAGCCCTAACTTCATTAAAATACATGATTTATAGCTGAAACTCATAAAGCTCCAAAAGGCGAGCTTCTGCTTTCGAAAACCTAGCTTTTACCAAGAAAGAGCGCAAACGGTCCCCCTCCCCCCGGGCCTTCATTTAAGTTCAAAAATTCCGGAAAAGGAGCATCTACATTCTCAAAACCTTCAAAAAAATCCCAGAGCATCTACTTCCTGAAACCTACACCCAACTACTGGAAAACCTAGTCTCGACAAGTTTTTTCGTCTTGTCTTTACCAAGAAAGGGGGTAAACAGGGCGAAGAAGTGGTGTCAGTGTGTTGAGAAAGGTGAGTCGCGTACCTGAGTATCGTCGGCCGTCGTCGGCGTCGCGTTTGTTGGCTTTTCTCGCTGGAAGCAAAGCTCATCGTCACGCATCCCCGCTGGCCGCTCTCCTCCTGGTTATTTCTGTAAAATCGATACTCTTTTTTTTCTTGGACCGAAATGGAAACTACGACGAGAAGCTCTTGAAAACTGACGAGGAAAAAAAATTGATTCTATGGGATAGAAAGGTCAAGAAAAGAGAACGGTTCTAGAGGCTTCCCAATTGAAATCGTGAGAACGGCAAGTGGTCCCTAGAGGGTTTTCTGAGCTCCAAATAGTCTTTAAATAATTAATTTTAAGAAGTAAGGTCTCAGCGCCTCAATATAGTCAATTTTTTTGGATCGCATTGACTTTTATGCTTGAACATCGAATAAAACTGTTTTCCTTGATTTCGAAATTAACAAAAATGTTCAAATCGACCTTATTTTAAATGTTGAAAACTAAAAAAAACCGATTCCGTTTATATTTAAATCGGAACTTATTGCAGGCTGTTCTCCTATTTTTCCCTCTTCTCTATTATTGAAGATGACTAAAAATGCAAAATCCAATAATTTTAAGGCCTCAAAATTGCAAAAACTTCATTCTGCATGGCCCTAGCTTGAAAAGAAATGCTGCAAAACGGCAAAAAAGTTTTGAAGCCCGATGCGGGGCTCGAACCCGCGACAGCCAGATTAAGAGTCTGGTGCTCTACCGACTGAGCTAACCGGGCCGGCGAGTGCCATTGCGCGTTTCGCATACTTAGCACCTGTTCGAGGCATGTTATAATGATGGCATTGTGATAACTTTGTCAAAAAGTACATTTATAATGTCCTTTTTGCTTGAAAACATGAAATTTGGACATTTCAGTGAAAAAATTGGAAAAAGGGAAAATCGAGATTTTTCTCTATTTTTAAAATCCAAAGTAATTGGAGCAACTTTGCCAGCGGTAAAATCGGCTTTCTTGTTTCGTTTTTGAGAATTCTAGACGACAAGGACCGATTAGTGGAGGAAAATGCCCCCGGTAAGCCGACTTCTCAACAACAGACCACCTCTTTCCTTCCTCCCTCCATTTTCGTGTCCCTGGCCTTTTCCTACTTTTATTTTGTGTTCGTTCAAATTCGAATCAAAAGAAAACAAGGCGAATCAAGACTCCAGTGGAAATTGGCAACTTTTTTTTGAACCCAAAAGTCAAGTGTGTCCCGTTTTTTTTTGGGTGACGAAGAAGACAACCTTCAAAACCACTCAAATTCTCCTTCCTTGACCGCAATTTCTACCTTCATTTCTTGTTCCTGCCAACTTCTTGTCTACTTTTAGAACTTATTTTCAATTTTTAACCTTATAAATGAAAATATAATGTAGATAGTTACAAAAAAAGACTAAAAAAATTTTTTTATAAATTAGTTTCCTTCAAAAAAAATTTCCATTTTTTTCCGTTATTTTTTTCTTTATCAATTGTTTTTCTGACTGATTCTGAAGCTCCCTGTTCATTTTTCAAACATAGAATTACTTAAATTTGATGAAAAGCCGATGAAAAGCTGAAAACTTCAACGTTAGCCTGGAAAATGAATTTCAAGATTTTTTTCGTCGTTTTTTTCATTCTTTTTTTCTCAAATTTTTCATCTCATTCCGAAAAAATTATCAAAAAAAATATCTATCATTCTTTGCAGAATAAATTGTCAAAAAAAACCTTGACAAGCTTCAAAATTCGGAATTTCATGAAAAAGTTAATGTTCCATCGACTTTTTCCCTTATCTACTCCTTTTTTTAATTTTTTTGAGTGGAATAATATAAATAAACCTTCAAGATTTTTCAGATCAGACCCAATTTCAAAAAAATGCGAGTTTTAATACTTCTATTGTGCGTTTCGATCGCCTCGTCTTGGGTCATCTACCGTCGAAATCACAAGAAAAAAAGCTGATCTGCAGGGTTGGTTATTCAAAATTCGACTTTCTCATTGAAATAATCTTCGTAATTACTCTGAAATCTTGAAATGAATTAATCAAAAAAAGACACAAAAAAATCAAAATTTGAAGTTATTTAAGCTTCAAAACGTAGAAAAAACTTTGAAAATTAAAAAAATTGACTATAAGCCCTAAAGCAGTCACTTTAAACTATCCTCTGAAATTCGGGGCCAATTTTACAGTTCAAAGCTTCATGAAAGTGTAAAGATAGCTTTAATGTGATTTATAAACCCTAAAGTGGACACTTCAAAACATCAAAATTTGCTTCAGAACATCATGACAAGAGAAGGATAGCTCTAAAGCCTTATAAAGCGACTTATGAGCCCTAAAGTGGTCACTTTGAACTGTCAACTGGAATCTCGGAGCCCATTTTACAGTGGGAAACATCAAAAATTAATCAAATGTGTAAAAATAGCTCTAAAACTTAACTGTACGACTTAAAAACCCTGAAGCGGCCCCTTCAAACTATCATCTGAAAGTCCGGGGTCAATTTTACAATTCCAAAAGTCGCGATTTTGTTTAAAAACATCTGAAAAATGTAGAAATAGCCTCATTAAACGACTTGTAAGCCCTAAAGTGGCCACTTTGAACTGTCAACTAGAATCTCGGAGTCATTTTCACAGTGGGAAACATCAAACCTCGGTGAAAAGTGTAGAGACATCTCTAAAGCGACTTATAAACCCTAAAGTGGTCACTTCAAACTATCCTCTGAAGCTGATTCTACAGTCCAAAAAATCAGAATTTCGCTTCAGAACCTGATAAAAAATATAGTTATAGCTATTCTTAAGCGACTTATGAGCCCGAAAGTGGTCACTTTGAACTATCGTCTGAAAGTCCGGGGTCAATTTTATGGTCCAAAACATCACAAACATGTTTCAGAACACTATAAAAAAATGTATAGATAGCTTTAAATCCTTACTAAACGACTTAAAAAAACCCTGAAGCGGCCCCTTCAAACTATCATCTGAAATTCGGAGCCAATTTCAGAGTCCAAAACATCAAAACTTCGTAAAAGTGTTAAGATAGCTTCAAAGTGACTTATAAGCCCTAAAGTGGTCACTTGAACTGTCAACTAGAATCTCGGAGTCATTTTTACAGTGGGAAACATCAAAACGATAAAAAATAGTAGAAATAGCTCTAAAGCCTTTTAAAGCGACATGAGCCCTAAAGTAATCACTTTGAACTATCATCTGAAACTCTGAAGTCAATTTTCAATCCAAAACATCACAAATATGTTTCAGAACATCCATAAAATGTAGAAATAGCTCTAAATCGTCATTAAATGACTTGAGAGCGCTAAAGTTGTCACTTAAATTCGACATTGTCAAAAACTTCGGATGCTGTGTCTTTAAAAGCACTAAAAAGATGGACTATCAAATCAAAATTGATTTTTAAGCGATTCTGAATTTTTTTTTTCTCAAGAACTTATGAAAAGTGACAAGAAAATGGAAGGATTGCCCCTTTCTTAAAGCGAGAAATCGAATTACAGGAAGAAGACGTCGGCAACCTGACGTCATCGCCTGCAATGACGTCATCCATGAAACCACCCACTTCTGACAGCGAGGATTCCGACGAGGACAACAACCGTCGACGGCGGTCCAGAAGGGACATCGAGGTCGACCCCGTCCACAGGGAACCCATCATATTCCTCGGGGTTCGTTTCCTTTGATTATACCTAAAAAAATGTGGGTTTTCGCGAAAAAAATATCAAATCATAAATTTAAGGTTAGACTTTTTCAAAATTTCCTGATTTATATGCCTTTATTTCTTGGATAATGATATAAATATCGGTTTTATCAACTCATATGTACTTTTTCCATAGTTTCGAAAAATTAGACCCTTGTCAGTCTTCTTCCTAACGTTTATCGTTTTTTTCTTTTTTTAAATAATCAATTTCTTACTTTTTTTAATCGATTTTTTTCACAAACTTCAATACAAAAATCTGCTGAAAACTTGTTTTCGAATTGTTTCATGGTGCATTTATTGACCGTAAAAAAACCACTCGAAAAGGGTTTTCGTCTCGAGACATTTTCAAAAGTTCTCTTCAGTCAGTCCTTCCTGACTTGAAAAGCGAAGGGTGCCGCGGCTTTCAGGCGGGAAACGTGAGGTCAAACGCGAGTTTTTTTGAAGTTTCCCTTTTTTTAAAATGCTTTTCCAATAAAATTTATTTGAATGGTATTGAAAGGAAGGATTTATTTTAATGTGAGAAGTGTGAGGAAACCAAAAAAAAAGTTCCACAATTTCTTTTGAATTCGATCTTCCCACCAAAAAGCCGCGTCACGTCGCCCGTGCCAACTCACGGCGACACCACACCCACCATAATGGCGGAAAATGAAATGTGTTGTACGCAGTGCACGCGATACATGAAAAGCGACGCGCAAAAAGCGATATTGGACGTTTAGCCAAGCCAAATTAGGATCACAAAAAAATGCGAAAAACAGCAAGCGCGCCCCATCAGACGAATGCGCGTGCGCGTCGCGTCGCTCGGACATTGTTAACGCGAAACGGACGTGCTCCGGACGTTTCTGGGCGATTCTAGGGAGCCCTTAAGAGTTCTGAGGCTACTAAAGTGATCACTAGAAATGCCCCGACACGTCCGATTCGCGTCCCGTTCGCGTTACCAAGGTCTGAGTGCGTTGTTTTTTTTTACATCAATTGGCTTGCGTGGTGTCGCCGTGCAACTTGCCGTCTTAATCCAGAAAGGATCGACTATATATATCTTCATTTGAATTGTCAATACAACATCAGAATAAAGTGACTTTTCCAACAATCTATCTTCCAGACCAAGAGCAACTCCTCGGTTTTCATTGATGACGGCGATTTTGACATCGTTTCTGATCAACTGACCAAGGAAGAACTGGAACAGGTGAGGAAATGTTCATTGTTTTGCTCAGGTACTTTTTTTGATAACTTTTTTCTTGACTTTTTTCACGAGTTCTTTTTTTTTGTTTCTTGGAAGTCTCTTTATAAGTCTTCAAAATGATATCAAATCTTAAAAATTCCACAGTGGCCCCTACAGGGGTGGAAAAACAACTCTATAGAGGCCGAAAAAGTGGCCCCTATAGGGTTAAAACCAAGGTGGACCCTTTAGCGGTTCAGGGTCTGACTCCTTACCCCCTAAAGCTTAAGTGGACCCTATAGGGGTCTTTCAATTTTATTCAAAAGCCTTTATTTATTCAGTTTTTCCCATGGCAATGCTTCTTTAAAACAATTATCGATTAGCATGTCCCCTAAAGGGGCCACTTTTGCAAGCTTTAGTTACCTTAAAGGGAAGGTAAGGTAGTTCTCTAGAGACGGCCCTCCAAGAGCCCCCATAGGGACCGCTATGGAATTCCTAAGTTCATAGAGAATCTTTTAAAATTGCCAAAAATAAATAATTTCAGGTGAAAAAGCAGATCATGGAGACGTGCAACGCCTTGAATTCTGACTGATATTTTATTTTTGATTTTCTCTTTTTTTTTTCAATTTGTAAATAGACAAACCTTGTTTCTTCCTCTGTACTCGGATATTCCATCAATTCAAAATAAAAATTTTTCAGCCTGAACCCCCAAAAAAACTTCATACAAAGTAGCCTTTCTTGGAATTTCAAACAACAAAAAAATTTTTGAAACCTGAAAAAATCTTTATACATAACAAATAACCAGCAAGCAAGGAGAAAGATGAAATTTTTCAACAGAACACGTAATTTTGTTTTTAAAAAAATGATAAAAAAATGACACAAGCGTAAAAAAAAAAAAATGTACATGTAGTCTTGAACTTGGAGAATGGCAGTGAAGGGAGAGTAAAATAAAAGGAAAAAAGAGGAAAATGACGGTTTTAATTGAGGAAAATGGGTTGGAAAAAGCAGGGAAATCTAGAATTTTTCCAGAGAAAATGACAATTTTTCATCAAGAAAAAAAGGTTGAGAAAACGCAAAAATTTCAAAACTTTCTATCCAAAAAAACGGCATTTTTTTGATTTAATTTTTGACCAGGCTGGAAATTTTCTAGCTTTTTTTCTAGAGAAAAAAAATTGAAAAAAATTGCGATTTTTCAACGAGAAAAAAAAGGTTGAGAAAAACGCAAAATTTCAAAAAGTTTCTTTCCAAAAAAACGGCATTTTTTTCGATTTAATTTTTGATCAAGCTAAACATTTTTCTTACCTTTCCCAGAAAAAAATCGAAATAAAATTGAGAAAAAAATTGAAAAAAAGGCCGATATTCAATGAGGAAGAAGCTTCAAAAAAATCGGGTAATTTCGAGAGTTTCTATCCAAAAAACGGCAGGTTTCGATTCAAATTTGATTCAAGCTATACATTTTCAAACTCTAAACACAATAAAATGAAAAATTGATAACTATTCGTTGAGCAGATTCCACCAGCTTTCAATGTCTTTTGTCGTTTCTTGGGGGTAGTGAGGCTTTGGGCTTGGATTATTGGACAGAGGCTGCGTCGGCGACGGGATTACCACCTGCATTCTCTGGAAAAAAAAGGATTTTTGACTTTAAAAAAATAATTTCGAGACTATTACCATCAAAATTGGCCTTTTTGCTGGTTTTTTACACTTTCTATAGTCTGTTCCGGTCATAGCAATAAACGACTTGCATGCTTCCCTAAAGTGGTCACTTTTGCAAGCTTTATTGCCCCCTATAGGGGGACGGAAAGTGATCCCAACAGGGAGACATTCAAGTGGCCTTAAGGTTGCCCTTCTCGTCCCAAAGTTCATTAGAAGACTGACCGAAAATTCAAATTATGATATTCTGAAGGAGTAATGCTACTGAATCGATAACCTCCCATTAAAAAAAAATTTCTTCCCAGTAAAACCCTTTTTTTTCCTTCTGTACATTAAAACCCACAATATTGGGCGACTCGATAAGTTCATCAATCGATTTAATTGGAGAAAAGAGTCCATCTTCCCCTTTTTCTTCCAGATCCGGCAGGTCGTACACGTTCAACTGAACCTAAACTTTGAAATTAGGGTTTAAAGTTTAATTCAAAGTTATTGAGGTTAAACAAACTTCTAGAATAACTTGTTCAACTGGAAAAATCATGAATTATAAAACTTAATCCTTTTCAGAAAATTGATTTTTAAATAATCTTTTTAAAACTACATAGTCTGTTTCTAATGGCTCTAACTTCGCGGATTTCTTTTAAAATCAAGAAAAAACTTCTAAAATAATAATAATAATGCCTAACTTTGAAAATCTATTACCATTATCGTTGAAAAAACTTGTTTTCGAGCCCAACAAAAAACAGCAAAAAGAGAACTGATCGCGGGCGGGATCGAACCGCCGACCTTCTGTGTGTAAGACAGATGTGATAACCACTACACCACGCGACCGTGTAACGCCGCGTCGCTACTTACGTGTAGAGTTTTCTGTTGGCCGCCCTTTTTTCCGTCCGACGATGACCGTTTTGGTAACAATTGAACGGTTTCTGGGGATCGGGACTGAAAATAAGTTATTTTCTTGTGGAAATTGTAGGTTCACCTTGATTTGGACCTGTTTCTTCTCGCTGCCACTTCCACTGACCATGAATTTCCGGGCGGCTTCTTGGAAAATTGTTGAGGTCTGGAAACCATTTTCCGATAAAATGAAATTGGAAAAAATGGTCCTCCTTAAGGAAAAGCACAAAAACTGCTTAACTTTATGAATAAAGTGTCAGATCCACTAGGAATCCTTTGTTAAGTTTGAAAAAGGGACATAAACATTTCCATTTTTTCAAAAACCGCATCGAACCGAGAAGGCAGTCGGGTCAGGAACGCTTCCACGTCGGTTCTTGATGGCGGCCTTTTTCCGGACGGGCGGAGGCGGCGGATCTTCGTCGCTGGATCCACTGGCGTCCGTTTCCGAGGTGTTCTGCTCGCCGAATCGGAAGCGGAACCGCGGTTTTCCATCCTCATGGGCCGACGAGTGGCCTGGAACATCGAGTGAAAATCAATGGAATATGAAGATTCTGTGTGGGGTCTTCATTTTTCTGTGGCCGATCTTATTTCGAGGCTACACCTTCCGCTACATTCTAAGCTCGTCAAGGCGCAACTGAATGGACTACGCGCAGAAAAACCGCAAGAACATCTTTTCAACTTGATCAGCTACAGTTTGGACTTCTAGTTCGCCAAAGGCTGATGTTCAATACTTGAATTATTCCTGATCTTCCAAAAATCATTTCAATCCAACCTGAAGAATGATTTCTGTACTTGGGGGATAGTCTGTTTTTTTGGAGTGTAGGCCGCAGTTTAAGGGGGGTAGGCCGCCTTTTAGCCTTAATTTTCAGACGGTTCAGAGTACAAAACCTTATCTCATTATCTCAACCCCGTAATATTTCTGTCGTTTTTTATATTTCTTCCAGCCTTTGAGACCCTTTGAACTTTACAATTACAGCACGAAGGACCACAAAAGATCTAGAGACATTCGGATCAAACCCCAAACTACAGTGCTGGAATTCTCGTCACCTTCTTTTTTGCAAGTATCATTTCTGAACTCCTCACCGCTCAGTATTTCATATTTTCAAAATAAACCCTCAATAAGTCCTGAAACCTTCAAAAGGCGTTCCCTGCTTGCTTGGGTTCCTCATCCTCCTCAGACACCCTTCCAACCAAGTTCTGATCGTCTGTTTCGCCACCTCTTCTTCGATGATGAACTCCAGCTCTTCTCTCTTAATTCAGAGCAATCTTCACAGCTTCTAACTTTGTGAATTGTAACTATTTGAGCAATATATTGATTGAAAAATCGTAACTGATTTTAAAAAAAATTCCAATACAAAAAGTGAGCTTTATTGACACCCATACATGAAGAAAAAATTCGGGAAAGTCCTATAAGTTCAAGGGAACACTAAAGGAGCCACTTAAGAGATACCTAAAAAAAAATCGCCCTAAAGACCTGGTCTAAACGCGCTCCATTGATAATTTATCCCTTTTCTTCAAAAAATGATAGAGAGAGGCTGTTTTTCATCGAAAATCGTTTTATTTACAATTGCAGGCTCCTATAAGCTTAAGGGAACACTAAAGGGGCGATAAAGCCACTTAAGTGATACTAAAAAATCGCCCTAAAAACCTGGTCCAAACGCGCTTTATTGATAATTTATCCCTTATCTTCAAAAAATGATAGAGAGGCTAATTTTCAATCGAAAATCTTTCTTCTTTCAAAAATCATATTTTTAGCCGATTTCCAAGCTCAAATGCGCCCCACCGCTCACCTGTAACAGCTCCTCCAACTGCAGTGACTTCCTAATATCCACCGATCGATACGAGAGCATACTGTAACAGTGAAAAATCAATAAATCAATCGATATATTAAAATATTAACTATAGAACATCGTGGAAAGAGACGTCGTCGCCAGTGTGAAGCCGTTCCATCTCGTAGCACATGTGCTTGAAAAGGACCCGATCTTTTTCTGGATCTACTTCCAGGCGGCCCTAGAAATCAATAAATAAATCTTTGTTCCACGTAGGAATAGCAAAATGTCGAGCCAAATTTGGTAAACTTGACTTGGATTTTCGAAAAAAGGCATCAAATGTACTATAGTTCGTACTTATCAGGACAAGTTTGAAAACTGGTTTTCGAGCATTTAACGTCCAATTTTTAAAAAAAGTTCCAAAATTAAAGTTTTTCAAGCTCTACCATCATAATTTTTTACGCAAAATTTCAAAAATCCGATTCTTATGAATAGTTAACATTTTTACACATCTCTCAGTAATTTTTTTCTAGAATTAAAAAATTTACTGCTCTAAAGTGCTTGAAAATGGATATTTCGATTACCTTTTAAAAATCGAAAAAGTTCAAGTTTTTTCTATTTTTCTAATGATAAATTATCTGATTTTACACGTCTCTTCGTAATTTTCTCTTTAACTTTTCAATGATGAACGGAAGAAAAATCCAACTACAATGATAGACTTATAAATGGTAATTTGATTGGAATCTAGAGATATTTCCACGATTTTTATTCCATTTTGAGTCTAAAAAAAGATTAAAATGGTGTCTTAAAAACTACCCAGTATTGTTCTAAAGTGTAAAAAAGCTTTTTTCCAATGTGATCAGAAAAAAAAAAAGGAAACCTTCAAAAGTCGGAGCAAAAATTTAACGCGACAAACGGCGATCATGCCTTTTTGCTCTTGGTCAACCATGTTCCAGACCAACTGAAAATCTCCTTTTACAGTAATTTTCCAAGCGAAAAAACCTGAAAATTCCGTATATCCGCATAACTCAACAGGGCGTCTTCTTCCGATGAGTAGAACAGTGAGAAATTCTCCATGATTATGGCTGGAAATTTTTTCTCGACTAAATTTTCTACATTTTTTTTCTTACCAACAAGGAGATTACGAACAATATAGGTGATAATCAGGTAGAATGAGCAGAAATAAATGATCGCCCCGTAATAATTGCCACAATCCGTCTCCCAATAGTTCAATCCTTCTTGCCAATAGCAAAACGGGGCACTTCTCTGGAAAATTGGCTGATATTCAGGGTAAATTCTTATCTAATTTAGACGGGATCTCAGCGGGCAACCCCGTATTAGTCCTGTACAAGCCCTCCACTAACCAGACACTATCTCTTTTCTTATAGTGTGAGGACCCATTTTTTCGAGCCAGCCGTGCCTCAGCTGCATATAGAAAAGGATAGGGGTTAAGTTTTGGCGCGAAATTATTTATTTGATCCACTATTCTTTAAAGAAAAACCTCAAATGCCTCAAGACCAATTTTTTCCCGCACCCTATGCGCCTTTAATAACACCCCAATCCTCACCATACAATCATGAATTCTTATCTAATTTTGAAAGAAGAAGTGCGGGATCTCAGCGGGTGTACCCTTATTGAGCCCGTACAAGCCCGCCGGCTTTAGGAATTGCCTGGCTCTTGCACCCGTTATTTCCGTGCAGTTGAAACTCAAACAAAAAATCGGGATTAATACGGGTACACCCGTCGACACCTGGCCATTCATAGCCGGGTCACGGCACAAAAAGGGGCGTGGCCTGTCTGCGCCCTCCACTAACCAGACACTATCTCCTTTCTTATCGTGACAGGACTCATTTTTTTTCGATTGCGAGCCAGCCGTGCCTCAGCTGTATATAGTAAAGGATAGGGCGCCCAAAAACAAAGTTATTTCACCTCCTATTTTTTCTCTCCTGTCTCTTAATCTTAAACCAACTTTCGGCAGCTGTCTAGCTCAATTTAATTCATTTTTGAAGTTATAAATTTTCGAAGGTTTTCCGATCGACGCTTGAAGAACAGTCTAGTAGCTAGGAACTTGATCAATTTTCTCCAGCTTTTGAACAATTTAAACTCAAAAGATCAGCCTTAGTGTTTCCTGAAGAAGCTACGAATCTTCAAAAAAAAAAATCCTTCTTACTTGTTTTAAATCATCTATGCTCTTTCGAACTGTAAAAAGAAGCTACAAATAACTCAAATTTCGAAAACCCTTTTGCTATGAAACTGAAGAAAAACCTTAAAAGCCTCAAGACCAATTTCTCCCACCCTATGCGCCTTTAATAACATCCCTAATCCTCACCATACAATCGTGCATGATATCGTTCCAATCCTCGCCAGTCAGGCACCGGAAAAGGACCACCAACGCTTCGCTAGCCGTCCGGAAGTTGACGTGTCTAAAAAATCGATATTTTTTCGAAAACCGCGACGCGACCGCAACGCACTTGCTCACGGCCATTCCGTATTTGACCATCGGGAAGAGGATGACACCAGTGTAGGCGTAGAACAGAACCAGTAGGAACAAGGCAGTGATGATGAAAAATGACCGGAACATGCTCATAACCACGGTCAACATCAGCATTTTCAGGGTGGAGTTTCGACCTGACATTTTGGAGATTTCGAAGAATTAAAAAAAAAACAATAGAACTCAAAAACGTACAAAACCTTCGAAAATTAGTAAAAAAAAAACCTTGAATTTTCGAAAAAAAATTTTTTAATCTTTTATTCTCTACAGAGCGCACATGTTTCAAGCTTCTGTGGCTAATTTTTCAAACTACTTTCAGTTGAAATTTTTCGAGTAAATCCTATCCAAAAGGCCTAAAAAATTTGCGCCTAGAGCTGATTTTTCCATTCCCTACAGAAACAGTTTTCAGGAGCTTTTTAAAGATCCTTCAATGAACTAAATTTTGAAAAAACAATTTTCGGCTCATCAGGCAAAACATCCTTACCACCAATATTTCCCCCAAGACTATTTTTTTCCCTTAGTACCAAAAACCCACTAGCAATCGTGAAGAACCGCAGGATGACGACCAGGAATCCGTAGCTGTAGGTGAACTTCTTCAGTTCGCCCTGAACGGCCACGTCGAACTTCTTGGAGGGCAGGGCGACGAAAAAGTGCATGAAGATCCAGACGACGCCGAATATGGTGATGAGGAGGTCGATTCGGTTCCGACGCGATTGCCAGAAGCCCGAGAAGGTGTAGGCGATGATCTTGAGGATGATCTGAACGCTCTTGTTTGGTAAATTAGAAAATCAAAATAGAGAACCTCACGTTCAAAAATTTGCAAAATTTAAATATTATTTTTTTGAAAAAGGAAGCTTTTAAACTCAGAGTGGTCCCTATAGAGGCAGCCTCTATGGATGCTAAAAAGTGGTCCCTACAGTGATTAGAGGGGAAAACAGCCCCTGAAGATATTCGAAAAGTGGTCCCTATAGGAGTTAAGGAAAAAACAGCCCCTGAAGATGTCCAAAAAGTGGCCCCTATAGGGGCTTAGGGTCTGACCCCTTAGCCCCTAAAGCTTGAGTGGTCCCCATAGGGGTCTGTCAATTTTATTCAAAATTCTTCGCATAGAGTTCATAACAATTATAAACTAGCATGTCCCCTATAGGGACCACTTTTGAAAGCTTTAGGGGCCCCTATAGGGGTTCCTAAAGTGATCCCTAGAAGCGACTCTTCAAAGGTTTCTCCTATAGTGTCCACTCTGGAGATTCTAAGTATTGAAGAACTATGAAAAACGGTCCCTTCTGGAATTTTCCAAAAATAACAAAGAATTCCGACAAAAAAAAAATCGATTCTAGGCTCAAAATCTTCAAAATAATTACCCCTAGTCAACCTATGGGCTATTGAAAAAAAATCTGAAAAACGTTTTTTTTTAGTTTTCATAGTCCCTATAGGAGTTGGTAAAGTGGTCCCTGTAGGGATCCTTTAAAATCTCTTCATATGGATCACTCTAGAGATCCTAAGAAGGTGGGTACGGAAGAACCATGAAAGGAAATTTCATATGAATATCAAAGACTTCCGACAAAAAAAAAAATCGATTTTAGGCTCAAAATCTTGAGATTATAGGACCCTTATCAACCTATGGACCTATGGACTATTGAAAAAAATCTGAAAAATGTAAATTTTTTTCATAAATCAATCAATACTTTCAGAATTTTTTTATTGATTTAGTGGCCGTCTTTTTCGGGGCTTTCCAAATCACCTCGGCCGCAAAAACGACATTAATCACAGCGCTTAAAACAGTGACGATAAAGATCAAAGTCGCCTGTTGATCTTCTTCTTCGACGTTCCACGGAATGATCAAAGTCGCCGAGTTCAAAAGAACGAGAAGGGCGAAGGCCTGAAAAAGATATATTTGAAAATTTACTGGCTACCCAATAAAACTTGGTTGAACCATCGACTCATGGTCAGATCGTAGAAAATCGTCCGGAGACGTGCGGATTCTGAAGGCTTCGGGGGGACGTGGAGCGGTTGGGCCATTTTCAGACGGGCTTTCAGGTCGTGCCAACGACGTTGATCGACTGTTAGGAGGGCGGTTCCCTGGCAAAAATTCGATAAATTTTTTTTTCCAATATATCCAAGTCCTCTAGTCTTTTGATGTTTGTATACAGTACTGGCCATAAATGTATTTCAAAGTGGTTATTCGAGCATAACTTCTCTGAAAGTGGCTCAAATGACTTGAAACTTTGCAAAAATTTCAAATAGCTAAGCAGTAACTTTTTCCCAGAAAAAAACTTGTTTGCTCAAGTCAGACCGGATTTGAGAGCAAAAAACCAAAAATCGTGAAAATCAAGATTTTTCTCTTGAGATTCGAAAAATCATATCTTCAAAGAAACTTCGTTTTCGAACCAGAAACTTTTTTCCCCAGTAAAACAAGTCTTCGGCTTTCCAAAAAACCTAACCAGCCCCTCACCAACCCGATAGTAAGAGCGTAGTGACTTTTTCTTCGAAAGGCCCTTGCTTTTGAAGCCTCCTCATTCAAATGGACTATACGAGGTCATTTTTGTTTGAGAACACCCTGTATCATGTTGAAAAATTTTGAAACACCCTCAAAAAAAGTTTCACACTGATTTCTTCAGCTTTCTCACTTTATCTGCTCTCCAGAACTCACTAACTTCACTAGGACCGATTTTGAAACCTCTGATTTGAAGCGGTTATGCTCCTTTTTCAAAATCAGAACATTCTCGATTTTTTATTTCAGATTTCAGAGCTTCTTTAGAACCTTGATGAATAAAAATAAAAAAAGACCCACTGTGTTTTGCTTACTTATTCGAAAGATATAGTGAGTTATAATGAGTTTCTTAAAGTTCTCAAAACTTCGTTTCAGCAAGTGTTGCTTAGAGGGCTCCAAATCTTGTGGAAGATGATAAAAACCCTTTTTTTCATATTTTTTTAAATGTTTTAGATCATGAGATAAATTTGTAACTCCTCTTTCTAGCTCTCAGTTCGAAGATAAGCACTGTAAAAAAAGTTTCTTTAAATTTTTATGGGAAAAATAAGTTTTTTTGATCTTGTGAAACTAATGCTTCAGCAAAAAAATTTAGCAGTCTTCAGGTGTAGGAGCCTGAAATTTAGCCAATTATTATTTTCAAATTCACGATTTAAAAGCGATTGACCAGATAAAAACTACTTTGAACGCCCGAAAGTCCAGAAAAACTGTTCAAATCAGAGGTTTCAAAATCGGTCCTAGTGAAGTTAGTGAGTTCTGGAGAGCAGATAAAGTGAGAAAGCTGAAGAAATCAGTGTGAACCTTTTTTTGAGGGTGTTTCAAAATTTTTCAACATGATACAGGGTGTTCTCAAACAAAAATGACCTCGTATAGTCCATTTGAATGAGGAGGCTTCAAAACGCAAGGGCCTTTCGAAGAAAAAGTCACTACGCTCTTACTATCGGGTTGGTGAGGGGCTGGTTAGGTTTTTTGGAAAGCCGAAGACTTGTTTTACTGGGGAAAAAAGTTTCTGGTTCGAAAACGAAGTTTCTTTGAAGATATGATTTTTCGAATCTCAAGAGAAAAATCTTGATTTTCACGATTTTTGGTTTTTTGCTCCCAAATCCGGTCTGACTTGAGCAAATGATTTTTTTTTTGGGAAAAAGTTACTGCGTAGCTATTTGAAATTTTTGCAAAGTTTCAAGTCATTTGAGCCACTTTCAGAGAAGTTATGCTCGAATAACCACTTTGAAATACCTTTATGGCCAGTACTGTAAATCTTAAAAAATGAAATTTCGTACATTGAAGCCCATCGAATCAGCATTGAGTATCATCATTTTAAACAAAAATCAGAAGTTCTAGAAAAAGACGAGGAAGGTTAATTTTTCGAAAACTGGCCAAAATTCCGGGGAATTTCAAGAAAATCCTGCCTCAACTTCCTAATTTTTCATTTTTTCTGGGAGCTACGAGTCTAAAAAAATTATAAAAACCGGCTTTTAGGCGGTCCCAAGAAGAGCACCGAACCAAAAATCAATGAAATTTTGGCAGTCCCAAAAGAAGCACCAAGGAAAATGTAGATTTTAGCATTCCTAAGAAAAAAAAGCCGAGAAAAGTTCTCTCAATATTTTTAGAAGGTGCTAAAAATTGAAAAAAATTTTTTAATGTTACCGTCTCACTCATTTTCCTTCCAGGATTACAATTTCATCCTCTGAATAATCATACAACCATCGAACCTCTACAGAAAATATATTCCCTAATTTTAAATTAGAAAATCACCCGATTCTGTGTGTAGTTTGCAATGACGACGCCGACAAATAACGTCAAACCAATCATACAGCCAATGAAGACGTAAATGTGGATAAAAACCACTGCCCACTGAATAATTCAAGTTAAAACTGCTCTTTTCTTTTCTATTTCTAATAAGCTCACTGAGAAAAGCTTTACACGTTTACAAAAAATCCAACACGATTAAAGCAAAAAAAAAAACACAAAAAAGACAAAGTTTAAAAAAATCAATTAAAACCCACCGGCCCATGCCGAATCCACAAAATATCCCGAATCACATTCCAACCCTTGAATGACAAAGTTTCGAAAAGCGCCAACATTGCATTTCCAACATGATCAAAGTTGAAATTCCTTGGGTTTGTCCTGCAAAATTTCATAAAAATCGTCAAACCTCAATATTAAATTCAAAACGAAAAGTTCGGTCCATTTGTCTTTTCTGATTCTTTATATCTTTGAAAATATGTTGTTAGAAGTATAATCTTAAATAGTATAACAAAAAAACACAAATGAAAAACTAAAGAAAAAGGTATAGAAAATAAAAAAAAGTTTGGAATTTTTTTGGAAAATTTTTTTAAAAAAATCGAAAGTGCGCGCCAATGCTAACTTTCGGCTCCTGTAGGCAAATTAACAAGAGCGTGAAGTTTTTTTCCAACTTTTCTATAAGAATATTCAAAGTTCAGTCGAAGCTTGAGAATTAAAAAAACTTCCTACAAAAAAATCACGAATCCTCATGAAATCCTTCAATCCAAATGACCTTTTTCTTATGGTACCAGGTAGATTTTTTTAATAAAAAAACTATCAATATACCTGACTAAAATGATTAAAAAAATGTTGAGAAAAATCTAATATTTTTCAATATTTTTCATTGCCTGAATCGCAAAAAAATTTGTGAATAAGAAAAAAATAAAATTATGAAAATTCAAAAAAAGCTAAAAGTTCCAATTTTTTTTCCTCAGTTTTCTTGAAATGAACCACGATGCTTTTATAAAATTTCTCCAGTTGAACTTATTTTGCTTCATAAACCAACCTACTATAACATAAAAAAAGTAAAAGCCTCACCAAACCCTGGGGACCAAAATCTTGGGGTGCATCGTCTCGCTGTCCTTCCCGTACACTTCCAGCCTTGTCACGAACAATTTTTTTGCCAAAAATACACCCGTACAATTTTTCCTAAAACATCGAAAAATGTCATATTTTTTTCTTGAAATTTCATTTGAAACCCTAGATTTAATGGAAGGATCATTACAAGCCGCTAATTTTCCACCAACGATTTGGACGCCGAAACTCGCAAAAATGAACATGACGACGATCATCAGGATTGTTACCTGGAATATGGATTATGAAGTAATAATTCATTAGAAAAGGCTTAAGAGTAAGGTTCAATGAACTTTTTGATAAATTTGAGAAATGCTTGATTTTTAACAAAGACAAGCAAGATCAAAACAAATTAATATATGAAAAATTTTTTTTTCGAATTGAAAAATTGAAAACGGTCAGAAAATTATTTCAATATGATCTTAACGGCAAGAATGGAACATTATAAAGGTCCTTATGATTTTTCTCTTCGACTTCAATTACCGCAACCGCACTTGGAATGGCTCAAAGTGCCGCGGCCGTAATAATTACTGAAAGTGCGCCTTTTTCAAGTTGCCAAAACTTCAATTCACTTTTTGACCCATTCCGACTGCAACCCCGTCCTATTTACCAGCACAATCTCCTTGAAGCCTCGAAAAAACTCGAGGACAACCCTTCGAATATGCGGAACCAAGGTATAGATCCTCAGAGGTCGCATCGCTCGGCAAATCATCAAAAATTGGGCGACACTGTTGATTTCGACGTGTTTTGGCAGCCACATCAGGAATATCAAGCTGGTCTGAAATTTAAAAATTTACAAGTTTTTCGGAAGATTAAATTACAAAGTATATAAAAAGCGTCATGACGCCGCCGACATCCCTCACGACAGCTTTCGGCGTGAAAAACAGGCCATTTGCGATGATTTTCACGCAAAGTTCGAAAGTCATCGCCAAAACGAACACGTAATCAGCAATCTGAAAAGAAAGGAATGTTTTTGCGGAGGAGCAAAAAAGAATTGCATCGGCCGGGAATCGAACCCGGGCCGCCCGCGTGGCAGGCGAGCATTCTACCACTGAACCACCGATGCTACGGGTTTCCTAGGCGTGCTTTTGAGACATATTGCCTGGCGAGCGCGCGTAATGCATTGAGATAAGGTACAGGAAAGTGGAAATTCGCGGTTTTGAGGTTACCTGAAGGTAGAAATTGTACATGACGAGGTTTTCTCCAGTCGTAGGCCATGGACTTTCGAAAAGCATTGAAATACAGGAGAGAATCGTGACGGTGGCCATTCCCCAGTCCAAATAGGGCATTATCCCGAAAAGAGCTCTGAAATCTTGGTAATAACTAATTTTTGATGAAATTCATATATTTTTGAAGTAAATACTTCTTGATTTCCATTTCTATAGTTTTTTTTATCTTCAAAAATGATAAAATTTCAAGTCTATACCTAATTTCCTTGAACCTTCGTTTGGTTTTACTGCTTCCATTGACTCCATCGTCCAGGATGTCATATTTCGAATGTACAAGCTGGAAATGAACTTCAAAATCTTCTGATTTATTGAAAAATGTACCTTTTTGCAGAATTCGCGAATCCTGGAAACTCTGCCGACCATGAAAAGAGGACGATCGAAAAAGGGGTGGTTTTCTCGCATATCTTCCTCGATTCGGTTTCTGAAGTGTTTTTTAAAATTGTATAGAGCTTTTGTCGAAAAATTGGGAATATATACTTTGAAAAAAAATAGACAACATAAATTATTATATACTTAATTTTTTTAACCAGTTCGGTCACCTTGAAACACTCTGTTCAACGGAAAATCGATAATTTCTGGAAAATTCTTCAAAACTTAACTATAAAAAACCGAGGAAATGATTTTTTCATCGCTTCATAACCTTATATACTGAAGGAAAAGCTCAAAAAATCGTGTAATTTTTTTTCTCTGTGAAAATTACTCAAATTTTCCCATGATTTTCTGAGCTACTGTCTTTTTTATTCTGTATGCAAAAAGGGTTGCTATGAGAACTTCCTTGTTTTTTCAGGTTTGTGAAAATTTATTAAAGACTGATTCACGGCGTTTTTTTCGAAAGCGCGTAAAGTTTTGTGTTTCGGGTGCATGCACTGCGCCGCTTTCGTGCGGAAAAAAATGCGTTTTTTTGAAGAGTACTTCTTTTTCAAATATTCTGTATTTTTCGTTTTTTTGAGTGAAATAAATAAATATGAATCATCTCAAAGACCTCTGGCAATATGGCGACCTGCGCCTTTAATATGGCCTGTTAAACACGCTCTCACAGCCGTTCCCATGAATTTTTTTAAAAAAATAGATATTGTCATTAAAATTGAGGAGAAAATTTGAAAGCTCTAAAAAGACGTTTTGAACGGATTGAAGATTGAAAACTTTAAGTTACTAGCGAAAATTCGAAACTGTCAAAATTTCAACCTCAATCATACATCGGCTGGATCCCCCAGCCTTTTTGCGCGCGAAAAAAATTTGAAAATGTACTGAAGTAGGCCGCTTTTTTTGAGGGGGTGCACTTCGGGGTGGGATCCAGCCGACGTATGACCTCAATGAAAAATAAAGAATTCAGCACCTGGTAATCTCAGCGAGCTGTCGTTTCTGCTGCAGAGCCCTCAGGTCGATCTCGCCCTGCTTGATGTCCTTTTTCGGGGCCGAGTCTGAAGGCCTGGACAGGTCGCCGTTCTCGTTGAACATCATCTGCTGCTTGTTCCTCAGCGAGGAGGTTTGCAGGAATTTTCCGGTCATCGATCGGGATTTTCTGAACGAACATAATTTTCTCCAATGAGGGGAATATTGGAGGAGAATTAGTAAGGTTTCTGGCACGGTTGGTAATTTTACTCAGAGCTTCAGAATGTTTTTAAATCAGCCAAACAACTTTTTGTGGAAATCCTTCCGGTCTCAATTTAAAAAAAAATTAATTTTTTAAGAAAAAGACTCCAAAAAATCACCAAAAATCTCTGAAAATAGGTTATTTTCTAACTTTAAGCCTTATTTTCTTGAAAACTAGGAAGCTTCATAGCTTGATACCTTCAGAATATTCATATATTTCATCAAAAAATTGGCCAATTTTCGGAAAATTCCAAAATCATAGTAAAATTACCTCCCTTATGAGGCTGAGTGTTTGAATTTCAAGTTGGCAGAAAAACCGAAAAAAATTATTTTTTTGACGGAATTTCAAACTGAAAACGTCACACTCAGCCCCTGGTGTTAGTAAAACAATAAAAAAAAGGCCTTAAAAATTGAATTTTTATTCATTTCAGCTCTAGAAGATCACTTCAAAAATTGTCTGACCTTCAAAATAAATTTTCAAAAAATCTCACTCGATCCAAGACACTTCAAAAACCTCTATTTTCATTATTTGCTTCTAAAAACTTCAATAAAATCAATAATCAATCGAAAATCGGACAAAAATCATGCAAAAAACCAAAAAAAAATCAAATCAACCGTGCCCATTCCTCGAACATGCTCAACATAAGGAAAAACCAAAAAACAAAGGTAGAGGATTTTCTACAAAAAATGACTGTAGGGGGGAGTTTCTACCGTAATCTTTTTTTTGTGAGAAACGTACGGTAGGGCGTCTTTCCTCGGGTACAAGCTGCCCGACGACCTCGTGAAATGCGGCAAAAACGACAGCGAATTGGACAACGACTGACGCGTTCGGTCCGACAATCTGGAACCGTTCTTCTTCTTTTCCAACACTACCGTAGACCCAGTGGGTTACGGTATCAGGGTTTTTTGTTGATTTAACAATGAACTTAAGAGGTGGGAATGTTGAGGGATTACTGGATCAAAAATTTTTTCTTTTTGAAAAGGTCTTATGAAGTTTATTGAAAGCCTTTTTCAGTGCAGAAAATAAAATTTCAGGAGAAATTTTTGAGACCTTTCAATGCCAAGATATGGTGTAAAAAAATATATGAAAAAAATTTTTTTCAAACTTTTTTTCAGAACATATTCAACAGATATTTCATTCGGGTTTTTTTCTAATTCTCTTAAAAAAATGACTTGAAAAAAACTCCCGAACACTCTTACGGCCTTCTCAAACGGGATGGGGAGACTTCAAAAAAATTTTGGCGTGAAACGTGATACGCAGCCAAATTTATTCTTCATGCCATTGAATACTCAGTTTAATTTGCAACGATAGGTAGCTGTGACGTCACAGTCCTTTTATCCGAAGCGCGCACTTACTTTTTTTTTGCAAATTCAGAAACTTTGACGCCTCGCTCACCTTCTCTCACCCTATTAGGAATGCCGTGCTCTTTCAATCATTACCTTTTTTTATCAATAGAGCACATTCGTTATGCTCATCAAAAAGTGATCAAGTGATCCCTTAAGTGATTGAAAAGTTCCAGATCAAATTTCATATCGATAATTGAGCCGTGAATTGAGAGATTTTATCAATAGAGCACATTCGTTATGCTCATCAAAAAGTGATCAAGTGATCCCTTAAGTGATCCCTTAAGTGATTGAAAAGTTCCAGATCAAATTTCATATCGATAATTGAGCCGTGAATTGAGAGATTTTATCAATAGAGCCCATTTTTTATCCTCATTAAAATTATCAAGTGATCCCTTGAGTGATTCGAAAATTACAGATCAAGCCTCATATGGATAATTGAGCCACGAAATAAGAAAACTTATCAATAGAGCACACTTGTTAACTTTATGATCAAGTGGTCCCTCAAGTGATTCAAAAATTCCATACCAAGTCTCATATGGATAATTGAGCCGTGAATAATGAGGCCTTATCAATAGAGCTCATTTTTACCTCTATCAAAAAGTGATTAAGTGATCCCTTAAGTGATTTTAGAGTTCCAGAACAAGTCTCATATGGATAATTGAGCCGTGAATAATGAGGCCTTATCGGTAGAGCGCATTTTCGGTTTTTATTAGAAAATGATCAAGTGATCCCTTAAGTCATTGGAAAGTTTCAGACCAACAATTGAGATGCTTTATCAATAGAGCTCATTTTCACCTCTATCAAAAAGTGATTAAGTGATCCCTTAAGTGATTGGAAAGTTTCAGACCAAGGCACACTTTGAGCCGTGAAACCATAAGCTTTATCAATAGATTTTTTTTTCATTTTTTTATTTTTTCAAAAAAATGATTAAGTGGTCCCTTAAGCTGTTCAAAACTCCAGAGCAAGCCTCATGATCAAAATTAAGAGGTGAATTGAGAGGTCTTATCCGTAGAGCGCATTTGTTACCCTCATCAAAAAATTATCAAGTGATCCCTTAAGTGATTGGAAAATTCCCGATCAAGTTTCATATCGATAATTGAGCGGTGAAAATTGAAAATTTATCAATAGAGCACATTTTTCAAGTTCATGATTAAGTGATCCCTCAAGTGATTCTAAAGTTCCAGACCAAGTCTTATATGGATAATTGAGCCGTGAATTGAGAGATTTTATCAATAGAGCACACTTGTTAACTTTATGATCAAGTGGTCCCTCAAGTGATTCGAAAATTCCATACCAAGTCTCATATGGATAATTGAGCCGTGAATAATGAGGCCTTATCAATAGAGCTCATTTTTACCTCTATCAAAAAGTGATTAAGTGATCCCTTAAGTGATTTTAGAGTTCCAGAACAAGTCTCATATGGATAATTGAGCCGTGAATAATGAGACCTTATCAGTAGAGCGCATTTTCGGTTTTTATTACAAAATGATCAAGTGATCCCTTAAGTCATTGGATAGTTCCAGACCAAAAATTCCGACTTTATCAATAGAGCACATTTTCCCCTTCCATTCCCACCTCGCAACATTATGGACATATAATAAATTTTCGTGCTATTCCCATGAAAAAAGAAAGACAAAATCATTTCGTTCAACACAGGTATAGGTAGTTTTTCGAGAGCCCATGCTCTATAAATCGGAAAATATGAAGATGAGAGGAACTGTAGTACAGAAAGCGACTTGGGGGCCATGCAAAATGAAAAAGAAAGAAAAAAATCATTGAAAATAAAATAAAATAAAATAAAAAACCACCAACTCGAGCAACGCATTGATGCTCGATTTTAAGGAAGAGCCGCCGATTTGTCGAAAATTCGGCTCTTCGTGGAACATTTTCCGTTTTTTGCCGGCTGTGGTCAGGTGCAGAACTCGTTTCGTTTGTTCAAACTCTGCAAATTTATTTTTTTCAAAAAAACAGGGATAAATGAAATTTCCACCTTGGGAATTTTTTTCTCTTGAAGTGATCAGATTTTTTTATTTTTTTATGTTTGAAAAAAACGAGCCAAACATAAAAAAAGGATTTTTAGATAAATTTTTGATTTTTTTGATTCTTCAATATATTCAAGATACAAGGATTCCCGAATAAGTCAGTCTGCTAGAAATCGAATTTCAAGTCAATTTGTGACAAAATGATTCAAAAATCTCCACAAAAAACCGGAAAAAACTATTTCGTATCACTGAAAAATTGAAAAAAGCTGTCGAGCAGATTTTTGATCAGACTCAACGTTCAAGTTTGAATAGAAAAATTAAGATTTCCATTTTTTTGAATTTTTGAATATTCTTTGCACCTATATAGCTCACGTTCCTCTATATTTTAAAGGTAAAAATTATTTTATAAATAATTAAACACTTTTCAAACGCATTCTAAAACAATTCCTGGGAAAAAAATCTCAGAATTGAAAAAAATTGGACGATAAAGTAAAAAAAAAAAAGAAGGTTGAAGCAATCGCGCTACAAGGCTAATTTTCACAAAAAATCATTTTTGAACACGAATCTCAACGCTGTTATGATTGAGCTTCACTTCAAAACTACAAACTACTATCTTATCTAGTGATCACTCAAGAGTTCTGACGTCACTTAAGTAGACACTAGGAATTCTTCAACACTTCCGATTCGCCTTACCAAGGTCGCATAAAAAATTGGAAAGAACATGAAATTTTGAAAAAAAGATCTAGAATTATCCAAAATTCGTGTTAAACAAAGAATCAAGTATGAAAATAACAGATTTCCAATTTTCTCCATTTTTTGAATTTTTGAATATTCTTTGCACCTATAAAGCTCACATTTTTTTCTATAGTTATTTCATGAAAATTAAAATATTATTTGAACGCATTCTAAAACAATTCCTGGAAAAAAAAAATCTCAGAATTGAAAAAAATTGGTAAAGTAAAAAAAAAAGAAGGTTGAAGCAATTGCGCTCCAAGGCGAAATTTCAGAAAAAATCATCTTTGAATTGGAATTTCAACGCCGTTTCTTTTAAAAATTGCTATCCCATCTAGGGATCACTTAAGAATTCTGACGCCACTTAAGTAGACACTAGGAATTCTTCAACACGTCCGATTCGCCTTACCAAGGTTGTATGGGAAATTGAAAAGACCATGGAATTTCCAAAAAAAAAATCTAGATTTATCCAAATTTATCCAAACCAAATTTCCAATTTTCTCAAACCAACCCGGCTCGATCAGCTCGGTATTATCGGGATTGGTCTCCGAAGCAAATTGATGAGTAAAACTGTCCCGGACTTTCGGCATCGGGAAGTCATTGTCGACCCTAAAATGACCACTTGGAGCCCTTCTTCTTCCTGTCCCTACCGTTTCATGGTGGACATCTGGGGTCGAGTGGGGAATTTCTCGAAAACTCTCAATCTCCACGGCAAAGTCGACCTCATTGACGTCGTCTAAAAGGGGGAAACTATTCTTTTTTCGAGGGAGATTAGGAAAAACCGCCTCTCTCGCCTTGAGCTGCTTGACCTTCTTCAGCTCCTCGTCCATCTCCAGGTTATCCAGAATCACAGCGACGAATAAACTGAGCACGATCTGAATTGGCCTTTAGAATCGGAAAAGGATAGCCTCTCAAAGAATGATAAATCGCGCTCCATGGCTAAATTTTGAGGGAGAAAATACAATATCAGACTAAAAAGTCATCAAAAATGACTATGGAGCCCAATCAAATGAAGCTCCTGAACAGAAAAAACGAAAAAACTTCCAAAAAGTTATAATTATCAATGGAGCGCAGAAGACATAGTTATCGCGGCTATTTTTTCTCACCTCTTTTTCTGGCTTTATTTCTATACAGTTGTTCGAAAAAGTATCTGAACTATGAAAAAAAATATAAAGCTTTCGAAAAAAAGTTCTGTTTATCCTTGGAGCGCAGAAAACTCAAGTTATAGCGGCCATTTTTTTCTCACCTCCTTTCCTGGCTTTCTTTTTCTATACAGTTATTAAGAAAAAAAGTAATTGATCTATGGGAAAAAGAAAGTTCACGGAAAAGTTCAGATTATCCTTGGAGCGCACAAAACCAAATTTTTGGCGGCCATTTTTTTCGCACCTCCTTTTTTTATTATTCCGGCAATTTATCAACAGAATTTTTTTAAAAAGACCATTTTTTTGTAATTTTGGTCGCATTTGGAATGACTAAAATTTTTCAACAAAAAAGCCATTCCAAATGCGGCTGAGAATCGCATCAAAAAAGTCCAAAATCACAAAAACGTATTAGCCCGTTTCAAGACTTTTTCATTCAGATATTGATAAATTGTCAAATGAGTGATATTTGGTCGCATTTGGAATGGCTTTCAGACGGAAAAGCCATTCCAAATGCGGCCAAATGTTTGATAATCCTAAGAATATTTACCAAAGTGACGAAAAGATGATAGGCGACGAAATAAATCGCGACGAAAGGCACCATTTTGTCATCCGTCGCTCTTAAAACCTGAAATTTTTCCTTATAAATGCACCTTTTTTCGGATTTCTTTCGAAACCTCCACTACAAAATCGGTCCAACCTTCTTGAGTGATGATTTGGAACATGGACATGAAGGCCTGCAATTTTATTTCTTGATTAGAAGACCTAAAATTGAATAGAAACCTGAGGAAAGGTATGAAAGTAACTGAGATTCGGCACTGAGAAAAATAATTGAAGTGAAATCGCGGAGCAGCAACAAATGAAGGCGATTGTGAAGGCGATCAGGCCGCCCAATTTTTTTCCCGGGCTGAAAATCTGAAAAAAGGGCCGCATTTGGAATGGCTTTGAAGTCAGTTTCAGAGCTTTTCCAACTTTGATTCCAAATATAAAGCCTATATTTCTCAGGAATCCCAATTAAAACAGGCAGCAAAATCTAATGAGCTCTAAATTGAAAAAATCGATCGCATAGCCGCGTTTGGAATGGCTTTGAAGCTTCAAATTTTTCTGCCTTCTTGTTTTTTCAATGTTTTTCCAACTCGTATAACGAATAAAAGGAGAAAATTCTTCAAATAGATGTGAAAAAGTAGGAATAAAATGTCCAGCAAGCCTAAAAATTGAAAAAACTCGATTTAATAGCCGCACTTGGAATGGCTTAAAAGCTGGTAATTGAAATTTTTTCTGTCTTTTCAAAGATTTTTCAATTTCTTTGAAGCGGTAAGAAACTTTCAAGTGGTTTTGAAAACATGGCAGAAAATTTGAAAATGAAAAATATTGGCCGCATTTGGAATGGCTTTTTTTACGCAAAGTGGCGAAAATATTTTTTTAAAGTTTTATCAAAGTTTCTCCGTGTTTTTTTCAATCAGGAGGGTTCAAGGTTCCTAAAAATCCGTTAAAAAAATGTCCTCAGACAATAAAAAAACAAGAAAATTGGTACCGCAATCGGAATGGCTTTTTTTGAGTCAAATAAAATTCAATTAAATGTTATTTTTCCAAAAGTTATAACATCTTATAGTGCTTTTTCTGAAAAATATTCAGTTTGATGAAAATTTCATTGATTTTCTAGCCAAAGAATGAGTGTTAAGTTGATAAAAACCCAAAAAAACAAGCCAAACCTTCCAAACGAAATCCTCCAAAATCGGGGACGCCTTGATCAGACGTAATAATCGGAACGTTTGAAAATAAGTAAAATAATTGCGATCGTAGAAGAATTGGATAATGTTCAGGGAGCTGCCGAGGCAAAGGACCAGCTCGAATTTGAAGATTCCTCTCCGGATGAAGCTTCCGAATCCGTAGCAGAGGATTTTGATGAGACATTCCACGTCGAAGAGAATCGTGAAACCGACCTGAGAAATTTCTTTCGAAAAATCTTTCTTTTCATCCAAAAATATTCAATCTATTTCGTTTCTTGGGGTGGGAGGACGAGGACATGTAGAAAAAGGGTGAAAAATTTTCAAATGAAATAGAGCGAATTTTCATCAAGTTACAGAGTTTTTAGATAATTTAATGGAATACTACTGACCAGGTGAGTTTACTGAATTTTACGGGGTTATTACTCAATTTTTACTGGAGTTTTTACTGCGGTTTTATTGAATTAACACTGAATTTGAACTGGTTTTTTTAACTGGTTTTTTCTGAATTTTGAATTAATTTCAACTGAATTTACTGAATTTTATTGAAACATTACTGGATTTTCAACATGATTTTCTGAATTTTCATAGCATTTTAAGTTATTTTCACTGTAAATTTATGAAATTAACTTATTTTTATTGAATTATTGATGGATTTTCAACATGATTTACTGAATCTTCACTGAAATTTTACTGAATTTTTGCTGATTTTGTACCAGCCCAGCGATAGGAGAACCTTCGACCACGCCCCCGCGTGGGCGAAGGTTCCTCAGTTGGTGGGTTGCTGGTTCCGCGTGTCCCCTCTATCTCTCCTCAACTCCTGCCTGCCTGTATTTCCCTGTGTCAAGCAGCTGACATCCCAAACAGGAAGGTCCAATACGCCAACCTTTAGAATTGTATCTGGAGGGAGTCTCTAGACTCTAAAGGCGGGAATTTGGAATAATTTCACGGATTTATAACTGAAATTTCAACACTATTTACTGAATTTATACTGCATTTACTTTGAATTTACTGAATTTTATTGAATTATTAATGGATTTTCAACATCTATTACTGAATTTTCACGGAATTTTTACTGAAATTCCTCAAATTAACTTATTTTCATTGATTTAATAATGGATTTTCAAAACGATTTTCACTGAATTTTCACTGAATTTTTGCTGATTCCACGAAATTATTAGTCAATTTACTGAATTTACTGAAATATTACTGAACTTTTTCCGGATTTTCAAGATGATTCTCTGAATTTTTACAGAATTTCACGGTCCAATTCGTATTTCACATTGGACAAGCTAGTTATCTTCACTTTTCACATTAATTTTAATCTGTTAAACAAATTCCTACGTGTCAAACAATACCTCGACGTAGTACAAATACTGTTTCCGGTGCAAATCCGTCGTATCGTGTTTATAGACGAACATCGCGTTGGCGATCGCGTTCAGGACGACAAAAAGTATCACGAAACATTGGAAATACATGCTCCTCAAAATCTAAACCGAAATATCATCAGTAGGGATATTTTTCCAACCAATTGAAGCCTCTGTTTGGGTCCTCGAAGTACGGGTTCCCCATCTAATCGAATCAATCTCCAGCCATCGTCCGTTTTTTCGAGTTTCTGAAAAAAAAAATTGGTTATTCACAATGAAATGAATGAAATTAAGTGAAAGAAAAAACACGAAAAAAATGAATTAAAATAAATGAAACATCACAGCTATCATTAAATCAAAAAAAAAACCATTAATTATGTATTTTAACCGAAAAAATATAATCTACTTTGAAAAAAAATGGAAAACCCTCTTATTCAAAAATAAAACAAAGAGAAAAATGGCTGCTGTAAAAAATAAATGCGGGAGTCGGCGTGTTGTACGCATACACTCCGACGCACTCTCGCACCAATTTTTTTCAAAAAAATATTTTTTTCAAGCATGAATCATAAAACCATGGTTTTCCAAGGTTTTTTTGTGAGGTTTTTTTCGGGTCGTTTTTTTCAAAAATACCGCTTAAATTTATAGAATTCCTATTCGAAAAATCAGTTTTTTTGGGAAATTAAAAAAAATTTTTCGAATTTATAAATATTCTCAGAACCTTTCTAATTTTTTTCAAATGCTTGGAATTCGAGAAAAAAATGAGACATCAATAAAATTTTTCAAATCTTGAAACCGTGGAAGTATTTTTTTGAGACCATTTTGAGCCTTAAAACCATGTCTATTCTTCAAAAACCCCTTTCCCAGCTTTAAAAAAAGATTAAAAAAAACTCTAAAACATGCCTTCCAAGTTTGAAAACCCTGAAGTGTACCCTCAGAACTTTCTAAGTGATTTTGAGCCTATATTACTTGTTTTAGAGCCTTTTAAGAATTCAAAAAACACACTTTACGTTTCTAAAAATCGACTTTTGAAGTTTCAAAGACTCTTGAGGGATCCCTTGTAGTTTTTCTCAACTAACTGGACCTAGAATTCATTTTTGAACCTTTCAGACTCCCCTGAACCATCTCATTATTGTTAAAAAGCCCTCAAAACCTCCAAAAAATCGACGAACCTGTCGAAACTCCTCGTCTAGGGTGACCTCCTTCTTCTGCCACATCTCGCTGAACTGAACTCGGATTTCAGCGAAAGTTTCAGTTATAACAGCAATAAATACGTTCTAAAATCCTTGGTCTTCAACTTTTCTAAACAGAAAAAACCTTGACAAGCCAGGCGAGGAAGAAAATCAAGGTACAAAAGTACAGAAAGGCCAGGTAGGATGGTAAAGAATCCATACAATCGTATAAAACGTACACCCAACCCTCTTCTGACGCCGCCAGGTACACGGTGAACACACTGGCGCCTGGAAAATGATTGAATTTCAGGAAAAAGAGAATGGATAAGCGGATAAGGCTCTCGTTTGACGGTGCAAAGGTCGCTGGTTCGATCCCTAACGGGGGGAATTTTTGTTTTTCTTTTTATCGAGAAAAGCCGGACCGGCTCAAAGTTGAGAGAATAACTTCAAAGAGTGGCTGAAAAAAATGATTTACCAAAATCGTTGAACATTCCGTAGAAGCCTTCTCCTTTGGCGTTGAGGTTCAATCTTCGGCATTCCTGAGAAAAAAAATTGTAAAGTTTTAAGTTTTTCTTGAACTCATTACTCAAATAATCTAGCGCATCATTATGATTATTTTGATACCAAATATTAGAATTTAGGAAGCCTACAACCTAAGTTATGATTTTTTGAACTTCACAAGAGGTCAATAAATTATGCTTTTTCTCAAGTTTCGAATCTTTCTCAAGGGTTTCTTAAGAAGTTCGGTTCAAAATAGAATCAAGCACTGCATTTGGAGTATTTTGATATCGAATACTCGGATCCAGGAAGCCTACAGCCTAAGTTCCGATTTTTTGAACTGGACTGGCGGTCGAAAAATTTGGTTTTCTCTAGTTTCAAATCTTTCTAAACGTTTTCTCAGGAAACTTAGTGTCTAATGAAATCAAGCACATCATTATGATTATTTTGGTTCTAAATAATCGAATTTAGGAAGCCTACAGCCAAAGTTATGATTTTTTGAGCTTATCCAGATGCCAAAAAGTTAGGTTTTTCTCAAGTTTAAGACCTTTCTCAAGGTTCTATTAGGTAACTTGATTCCTAATCAAATCAAGAGCATAATCAGTATTCATTCAGCTTTAATATCACACTTAATGAAATTTAAAGATTACTTAAAAGTTGGAAAAAACGAATAAAGTTGAAAAAATTCACCATCGGAGCTGGACATTCATATCCTCCAGTCCCATTGGGCGCGCACATCGTATCAGGAATCGCCAAATCCATAATCGTGACATTATTTAGATCTGTTCCTGAAAAACTTCCACAAAATAAAGCAATCAATACTAGTTTTGTTATTTTTTCAAAGAAAATTTTCGATATAAATTTTCGATATAATTTTTTTCTCAATATTTGGAAAAGCAACCAAACCTGGCCTCACACAGTGATAATCCATCCTTCCAAAAAGCTGAATGCCCAAAATCGCGTATAAAGTCATGAAAAAGACGAAGAACACCGTCACGTTCTGCACCTGCTGCGAGGAGCGCCTGGAAAACCGACAAGTTAGCCGAGGGGCAGCAACTGGCCGCGTGGCGCAATGGATAACGCGTCTGCCTACGGAGCAGAAGATTGCAGGTTCGAATCCTGCCGTGGTCGAAACTTTTTTGCAATTTTTTAAACTCACTTTAAAAGTTGTTCTATCCGATTTTTGGGCAGTTTGAACTTGACGATCAGCGGGATCAGTCGGATAATGATGAAAGGCCGTATTGAGCGTATCACAGCGAACCAGGGTCGATAATATAATTGAAGTGAAGGGAAGAATAAGTCGACTATTCGATATGCGTGCAGTAAAAGTGATAATAAATGAACTAGTGACATGAATATATCGAATTGAGACCAGCGATTCGCGTAGTACGAAGAGTCGAACTGAAAAAGCTTTCAACTTAAAAAAATCACACGAATTACTCAGGAAAAATAAGTTTGTTGCTGATTTTTCCGTCTTTTTCTTTGAAAAATTGCCTTTTTTTCTATTAAAATTAATTTTAATTTAATATAAAAAAACACTTTGCAACAATATTTGAAAAAAATGAACCCCTTGAAAGAAATATCTCTTTCAAAAAATGCGATTGTTGTTTTGAAGAGCCATCTCCATTAAAAAAAATTGCTTATTTTTTTCGATTCCACTCATTGGAATTCAATTGATTTTTGGGGAAAATATCTTCTTTTTTGTTTCTCTTTTGCTTTTTGCAAGAGTTCAATCCAATCAGTTGTCTAGAAGAAGCTCAGGGGATTGAATTTCCTTTATTTGGGTTCTTCTTGTTCGAAAGTGTTGCGAAATTGATTTTTAGTGGAAAAAAATTCTTTAGGATGTTTTGAATTTTTTTTTCTGGCTCCCACTGGGAAAAATTCTAGTGGCCACTTTAGAGGCTCTTCTAGGGCTTCTTGGAGTGGACACTTAAGTGGCCGCTTCAATTTTCAGTGGCCTAGTAGTATCGCTTAGGGTTCTATAATTACCAGTAATTTAAGCCCCTTAAGTGGTCACTAGTTTGACTACTATAGTGATCACTAAAACGTTAAAATCCTTAAGTGGTCCCTACAGAGTTCCTTCAAGGACTCTTGGAGAAGACACTAAAATTTTAGTGGTCTAGAGTACTACTCAGACTTCTTAAGTGGTCACTGTTTTTAGCTCCTTAAGTGGCCACTAATTCGACTACTATAGTGACCACTACGACTTTAAAATCCTAAAGAGGCCACTAAAAACTTTCCCGGATTTTTCTTACTCTCATTCAAGTTTAGTAACTAGAAACGACCCATCAGGAAAAATCCTTCCTAAGACTCCATTTTTTCGAAAAAAAAAAGCCAATTTTCCCTACAATATTCACCCTCACCTTGCAAACACCCTCATGATGAACCCGTAGAATAGCTTCAACGACGAAAATCGAAACAGAAATAAAGTCGAGGACGAAGACCAAATAATTCAATGGCGGGAAAACTTCGAAGGTCCTCGGCGTGTGCAGACAAACCGTTACCAGGGAAATCGTACAGGCCAATTTCAGGGCTCTTTCGACGCGTTCGCTCTCCACGTAGCCTAAAATATGTATTTTTCAAATTTTTACTAGAACAGTTCTCGTTTTCCCAAAAAAAGTCTACTCAAAACGAAGTACTTTTTGAAATTTCCATTATAATCGGCTTCTCCAAAAGGCTTCAAAAGTTCTAAAAATCAAAAAAAAACTATGTCAAATATTTTCCGTTAAAAAAATCTACATACTTCTGATATAATGTCCGGGATTTCATACCCTAAAAAATAGAAGAAAAAAAAACATTTTAAAAATTCTCTCAAAAGAAAACTACTAAATACATCCAAAATACTTGAATTCATTGAAAACTATTATTAAATTTATTAAATTACAATTATTGTCTTTTTCAGTCCTTTTTACGCGCCTCAATCCGCTGTAAATTTATAAATTTAGGACCGTCAGAGTGGGCCCTATAGGGGTTAGGGTAGAAACAATCCCTGGGGGTCAAGAAACTGTCCCCTAAAGTGGTAAATGTTAGGTGGTCACTATAGGGACTTAGGGTCTGAAGGTTAAGCCCTGAAGCTCAAGTGGTCCCTATAGGGTCTATCGATTTTTTTTTGATAAAATTTTTTTGAAATATTTTTCATCAAAAAAACGCTGATTTATTGAGTTTCCCGCATGGAAATACTTATCCTCATGGAGTTCATGAGCGTTTCCCCCATAGGGGCCACTTTTGCAAGCTTAGGGGAGGTGAAGTGGTCCCTAGAGGGGAACCTTCAAGGACTCCCAAAGTCGCCCCTATAGAGACCACTCTAGCCTTCTTAAGACTCTCGAAACACTTGGATTTTTTACATCTCCTCATTTTCGAGCTTCAAGCTCCACTTTTTTTACTATTTTGGTTGTTTTTGCGGTTAAAAGTAGCGCAACACGACGGAAAAAAAAAGAAACGAGTCCCTCGAGGGCTAGTTCGAATTTAACACGCATCTTCCTTCTTTTTTTTTTGCTGCTTCGTGGCGAGAAATCAAATGGGCTTCTGGCTGAGGAACGGCCCACTATCTGCAGAGGAAATCGAAGGGAAATGGATAGGAAAATAGGCAGAAAATGGCCTCAGTGTAAAAGATGTGTATACTTAAACGTCGTGGGTGGCTTCTGGTCGTTTTTTAAAGATTTTGAGCGTTTGAACAAGTTTTTTTGCAGGGAGATGGGCTCTAGGAGCTGCTTTTAACATTTCAAAAAAATTTTAAGGCTCAAAGATTTTTTTTCGGTGCAATTCTACATTTTCAAAGTTCAAAATCAGTTCTTGCCCGTTAAAAAAAAATTTGCAGACTTTCGAATTTTCTTGAAAACCACATGATAACCCAGGAACAAAAATCACCTGATTTGAATGATAAACTTTTTAAATAACATTATTCAAACTTAAAGTTGATTAAAAACTAAAAAAAGAACCACAGAAAATCCCAAATATTTATTCTCAAAAACCTCAACCCAACCTCGTTCGCCAGCCTCTGAATATTCTTCACCGAGATCCACGATTTGTGGCAATTTCCGGCCATAAGATGGGAATCGCAGCATTACGAGTGGAGAATGTTCAGAAAAAAAGAGGAATTTTATTGTCTTCAGAAGCGTCAGAGAGGCTTCACAGGATTACCGGCACTGGTTTTGCGACGATGAGTTGCCGACGGCTCCTTTTTTTCTATTCCGAACGGCAAGAAACATCGTTAAAAGAGATTTATAAGTTGATGAAGAGCAAAAGGAAAAATAGCAAAAGGATTTGGGCCGAACCGGGAGTCGAACCCGGGACCTCTCGCACCCGAAGCGAGAATCATACCCCTAGACCATCCGGCCACTGGTGGCTCAGCGCTCCATTTTGCACTTACCTGACGCCGCTGGATTGATAAGAATGTTATGGGAACTTCCGAAACATTGAAATTTTTCTAGAATTCGAATTGGTACACTGAAATATGGTTTTTAAAAGTGGAGCTGAATTAAAATGCTGGGAAAAGAAAGGAAAGATCTTTTGAAGAAACTGATAAGAAAATTGATCAAATAAGCTGTTTTATTTTTTATAAAGACCTAAAATATTAGAGAAATTGGGGGCTAAAGTTCTGTGAAAAAAATATGTGAATAATCAGTTCTTAAATTTTTTTGAAAAAGCTCAAATTTTCAGAAAGTTTTTTGAAAGTCAAAATGTTTATATAAAATCTATTTTTGAAATATAGATTTTTATATAAACATTTTTGACTTTCATTTTTGGCTTTCATGAAACTTAACTATAAAAAAATACTTCACTTTCGAAAACCTCCTATCGTAATTTACTATCATAAAAAGTAGAAAAAATGGGAAAAAGCCCTTAATTCGATAATTACTGTACTAAGTACCTTAATAAGCATTTGAAGCTAATATGCTCGACTTTTGGGGGTCCATAACTTTTTTCCCAGATCTATGCGACAGCTTTCGAGACCGGATTTGGAATCAGCATGAAAAACTACATTTAAAAAAACATGGTCTCATTCAAAAGTCCCACTGTGCGCTGAGACTATTCCCTGGTAAGCGCCCCCCGACACTCATTTTTCAACTGAAACGTACTGTTTCTGGCCGGCTTCTTCTGCTGGGTGTTGAGCATGTCGGAGATGGCGGCGATGCTCTCCCGGGCGCCGAACGTGCTCGGGCCCCGGGACGACGAGTTCTTCCGGGCCAGCATCGCCGACGACAGGACCGCCGCCTTCGCCACTGCAATTTCCTGTCGTTTCTTTTTATTGTAATGCTTCAAAAAGGTTTAGGATTTATTTTCGTTCATCACAGCAAATATCAAGGCGGGTTATCTCAGGCTGAAAAAAAAGCTCATTTTGGCGGTTTTTGAGGGCTTTCCCTGACTTCTGGGGCAAAGTCGGAATGCTGGATAATGGCCGCTAGAAGGGAAAGGCTCGAAAAAGGTCGCGGAAAGGCTACAAAAAGGGCGGACAAAGGCTCAAGAACTGGCAAAAAAAAGGAAGAGGCAGCAAAAATGTTGCATAAGAGCCGATGAAATGGCGCAAAAAGGCAGCAAAATAGGAGCCTTTTTTCACCCTAAAAGGAAAATGTATATAAAGCCTTTTCCACCTTTTCCGACTTTTCACGTGCTCTGAGGTGTTTTTTCTAGGGAACTACCAAATTTAGATGTTTTTAAGTTTAAGATTTTGATAAAAATTGGCTAATTTTCAATAAATTGACCTTTTTGGGCGATTAATAACTGCTCAAAGAAGTTTTAAAAAATCTGAGGCCTTCAAAAAATCGGAAAACTTCCTCAAATATACTCTTAAACAGTGAAAAAAACAAATAAAAGATTTTCCCGAAAAGTTAGGATTTGTGATGTTAGTCGCGCTTTTTCATTGAAAGCAGAGTACTGAACTCCTAAAAAAAAACTTCTAGAGAAAAGAAAAATCTCAAGTTCTCGAGTGAGCTTTCCAACAAGTATTCAATAACATACAATAAAAAAATATTTCCTAAAAACAAGTAAAAAATAACGAAAAGTAAAGCCGTACAAGGAAGATTCTATCAGTTTCACTGGCGCCTTTCCCTCTCTTCCCCGCTTTTTTTTCCAACTTTGACTTTCAAACAAGGAAAAAACGAGGACAAGACGCGACTAATTGGTCGCGCCATGGGGGGTCTTCAAAATTGGGCCTTTTTTCGCCTCGTTTCCAGGCTTTTTTCCCGGAAAATGTGTGGAAATTCGTTCAGACTGCCCTTTTTAATGTTTGACGAGGCCGATCAGCTTTGAGAGGTTTGAAAAAAGATAACTATTTGACCAATAATATTGAAACATTTTTTTCTAAAGGGGTCATTTAGAAGTTGAAGAAACACTAACACTAAAGGGGTCACTTGGAAGTTTAAAAGTACTGAAGTGGTCCCTTTTAATCTGATGAACGATGAAAATGGTCATTTGGAATCTGGAGAAACACTAAAGTGGTCATTTCGAAGCTGAAAAAACACCAAAGGGGTCATTTGAAAGCTAGAAAAACACCAAAGGGGTCACTTGGAACTTGGAGAGCTACTAAAGGGCCACTTGGAAGCTATAGAAACACTAAAGCGGTCACTTGAAATTTGAAAAACGCTAAAGTGGCCACTTGGGATCTGAGGAAACACTAAAAGGGGCACTTGGAAGTTATAGACACACTGAAGGGGTCACTTGAAAGCTAGAAAAACACTAAAAGAGTCACTTGGAATTTGAAGAACTACTTAAGCGGACACTTAGAAGCTATAGAAACACTAAAGCGGTCACTTGAAATCTGAAAAACGCTAAAGTGGTCCCTTGGGATCTGGAGAGACACTAAAGTGGTCATTTGGAGCATTTTTGAAAAGAGAAAAAAAGGAATTAGCAAAGCTATAGATGAGCAAAAACGAAGAGACTACAGACAAACAGAGGGAAAAAGTCTGTCTGAAACACTCTCCATTTCCCACACTCTCTCATAATTTCTCATTCTGTTCTCTAACTGCGCTAAATTAGGTACAAATTGAGAGACGCCAGACACTCGAAAAACTCTCCTCGCGTCTGTAACTCTCTTCATTCCCCATACTCTCTCCCGTTTCACTCAAAAACATACAATTTATCTATTTCCCTTTGAAAAATGACCACCCAAGTGGAAAACAGAGAAAATTTCTTCAGATGCTTCAAATAATTACTGCTCCAGGGGGGTCAGAGAGACGGAATAAAATAAAATAAAATTGTGGTGCGGATGTTTTTTCGCCGCGTCAGACACTAACATAGGAATCTTCTTTGACTTCTGCAGATGGCTTTTTTTCCGGCTGAAGACAACGGAAAATAAACGAAAAAAATAAAACAGGAGTTGAAGCTTTTCCATTGAGAAATTGACTAGAAAAAGCGGGAATTTCTCTTTTTGAAACACAAATTGAAATTTTTTTAGAAAAATTAAACTTTTTGTGATCAAAAGAATGCTGTAAAGTTCCATTTATATTTTTTTCATATTTTTTTCATAATCTCTTTGAACCTTTTTTTATAAAAATAAAATGGTCCAGAACGAAAGATTTCCCACCAAAAAAAGTGACACAAAAAAACGTAGACTTTTGATTTTTTTGGAAGCAATATACTGAAATTTTTTTGAAAGAATGAGCCCTTTCTAGTGAAGAAAAAAACACTAAAAAAAATAGGCCATATTATTTTTTTTTTTTCAATTTTTTCTTTTTCTATAGTTTTATTTTCTATTTTCCTTCCTTTCAAACTCCACTAATCCATCTAAAATACATCCAAAGTCCCTTCCCCCCAGTCCCAACATCAACAAGGACAAGCCTGCTACTGACATCTCCCAATTAAAAATTCACAACTATCGAAGAAAAAAAAGAATATTTACCTTGTGAGTGTTTCTTCTGATTTTGGACATGAATCAAGCTCTTCTTCCGGTCGCATTCCGACATTTCGAAGATATTTCAGCGATTTAAAAAGTTCAGAAGACGTTGAAAGATGGCATGGTATGGTTTGAAGCTTCGGAATGTTGTGATAAGTAGATATTTGTAGGTAAAATTCAAAATTTTCAAATTCAGGTTCAATCAGCTTCGTTTTCAGAATCTTCAGTGAGTTTAGTAGATACCAGGAAGCATCAGAAGACGTCAATATTCCAGTTTCGAAGGCATCTTGACAGATTAGAAGATTCCAGGTAGGGATTCAAAGGTCAGAAGGCGTCCGGAAGTGTATCAACTACAGAAGACGTGAACAAGGACAAGCTCAACTTCAGACGACGTCAGGATTGCTGAGAAATTCGAGGATGTTCTTCTAGTCTTGCTTCAGAAGACGTCAGGACGTTCTAGATTCTGAAAAACCGAGAATAAGTTCAGAAGACGTCAGGACCGTCGAAAAGCTCCAGAATGTTCTTCTAGTCTTGATTCTTTTTCGAAAGACGTCAAGACGTTCTAGAGTCTTGAAAAGCCGAGGATTAAGGTTCAGTAGACGTCAGGGCAATGAAGCCACTTCTGAAAGCTTTGAAAATCGGGAATCGAGCTGTAGAAGACGTCAAGACGGTTCAGAAACTTCCAAATTTTGTTCAGAAGACGTCAGGACGTTTTAGAGGTTTTCAGTGTCGGGAATCAAGGTGCAGAAGACGTCAGAACGTTACAGAATTTAGAAGAGTCAAGAATTAAGGTTCAGAAGACGTCAGGACAGTGAAGCAGCTTCAGAAGTCCCCAAAAATCGAAAAACGAGCTGTAGAAGACGTCAGGACGGTTCAGAAGCTTCAAAATACCTTTTAGAAGGCGTCAGGACGTTTCAAAGTTGATAATCAGAAGACGCCAGGACAGTGAAGCAGCTTCACAAGACGTTGTCAGTTTCGAAATCTCGTCAGGACAATTCCAGAATTTTCAAAGACGTCGAAAGCTTCGAAATCCCGTTCGGGAGACGTCAGGACAATACAGAAGCCTCCGAAGAAGACGTCAGGACTGTCGAGAAGTTCCTTTTCCGAAGCAGAAGCACTCAGAATCCGACAGTCGTTGCGGAAAAACGACGTCTTCTCGGTCCTAGGCGTGGATCTCGCGTTTTATTTGCTCGTCGGCGGCAAAAGCCTTTTTAGAAGTGGGCGTGGTCTTGTTGTTCGTCGTCGTAGTCGCCATTATTCAGAGCCTTCGCCCGCCCGTCCGATTCTTTCTCGAGTATCCGATTGGCCGAGTGGAGGAGTAGGGATGTTGTTGAAAACGTGATGTCACGCAACATTGATATAATTGACTCTTGGGTTCTTTTGTCTTGGGGCCACTTTTTTTTTTTTGCTCAGCCGATGTTTTGAAGTTTTCAGCTTCTTTTGGGAGTTTTTCCGTCTTGGTTAGGCCGGATTTTGGGTTCCTTTTTTTTGCTTAAAAAAAACTGGATCTTCACGAGTTTGAAAGTAAGAAAGTTCCACTCCAAAACGAAAATCTGAATTATTTCTAGGAAAAAAAAGCCAGGTCGGAAAGCTTTCAAGCCCTCTAGGAACCACTTGGTGAATTGAAAAATTAATCAAAGCTTCTTCTATTTTAGACCTCTTAGGGACCACTTAAGTATTTTGAAAAATAAACCTCATATCCGACCTCCGAACATTCTAGGGACCACTTGGTATTTTTGAAATTCATCCCTTTGTGGATTTTCTTTTCGCCTCAGAATCCTTTCAGATCAAAATGAATTCCCAGAGCTCCGTGCTTCAAAAAATTAAGGAACTTTTACAAAAAAAAATAATATTTTGGATATCCAGAAGCTTTTTTTGTTGACTTCCAGTGTTTGCCAAAAAGATCCAAGTCTATTTCTTTTTACTATCGAAGTAAATATTCTAGTTTCCCTTCATCCTGAGAATTTCAAAGGGGTCGCTTAAGGGTTTTAAAGCTCTTCTCATCACCGGACGTTCTGGAATACATTGCTATGATCCTGAAGACTTATTTCAAAAAATATAGCGGCTTCTCAAGTTTTTTCACGCTTCAAAAATGGCATAAAAATTCTGAAACTACTATCTAACGCTACTGAAGTGGTCGCTTAGCCAGAAAACTCAAAAGACCTTCGAAAAAGTCTGTGAAATTCTAAAAAAGACTATTCAAAAGAACTCGAACGAAAGGAACGTTTCTATGTCTAATTCAGCTCTTCCTTGTGTTCCTATTAACGCATCCCTTGAGGATTAGGAAGCTAAATGGACTTTAAAGTAGGCTAATTACCAATTCTTTAATTTGCAAAAGGCTAGCGAAATGTCAAAAAATGGTCCCTCGGTTGAAACATTTCAAAAAGAGCAGTTATAAGCAGTTTAAAAGACTACTAAGTATCTCTTTAATCTCCTTATTTCTCCTATTTCAAAGTAATTTTCGACGAGAAAAGGCTATTAATCAAACCTTGAAAAGTAGAAAAACTGGTGAAGAGGTAAAGAAGAGCCTTCTTTAGGGTCAAATCTAACAATTTCAAGGACCTCCTTAAGAAGTTTCGAAGCTCCCAATACGAGTAAACTGTTTTCGAATATTATAAAATTTTTTCCAGCTTGAGGAAATCTTCAAAAAAAAATTGAAATGATAAAACTTCTGAGTGGCCCCTCTAGGGTCAGCTCAAAGTCCCCAAGTGCCTACTGGGGGTATAATCTTTAATCTGAGAGCTTTGAGATTCTTTTTAACTATGTTTCAATGACCAACTCGTACTAATATTATATTAAAGGTCTAGAAATCATGATAAAAAAAAAATAATTTATCACTCTAGGGGCAACTCAAAGCGTTCCAAGTGCCTCCTTGAGGTAAATAGTTTAAACTCAAAGCTTCCAGTACTCCATCACTGCTTGATAAAAATTGATAAGATTGAAACTTCTGAAGGGATCCCTTCAGTGGCTTCTAAGTGCCTCATGAGGTGAATTCTTAAACTTCATACAACCCCAGAAAAGTCTTCAAAATAGTTAAAATTCATGGTGACCACTATAGGGTCAACCCAAAACCGTCTAAGTACCCCCTTAAGGGGGAATCTCCAAATCTGAAGCTTCTAATTCATCCTTCAAGCCTGAAAAGTCTTTGAAAAAAGGGAAAATTCATAGTGACCACTATAGGGTCAACCTAAAAGTGGCTAAGTACCCCCTTGAGGTGGAATCTCCAAATCTGAAGCTTCTGATAAATTATTCAAGCCAGAAAGTCCTCGAAAAAGTCGAGAATTTGTAGTGACCACTATAGGGACAACCAAAAAGCGTCTAAGTACCCCCTTGAGGTGGAATCTGTAAATGCGAAGCTTCCACTCATTTTGGAAGTGACAACTATGGGGTCAATTCAAATGCATCCAATCATCTCTTACAGGTTATTTTTCCGAATCCAAAGCTTCTGATGATTCATTAAACCCTTAAAAGTCATTGAACACAGAGAAAATTTTTACAGTGATCACTTAAGAGCAATCCATAACGTTTTTTAAGTAGCTCCTTAAGGTAAAATCACCAAACCCGAAGCTTCCATTCCACTCTGATCTTCGTTCCAACGACCAACTCGTACTCATACTCCAATCTCTCTCAATGAACCCACTACTACACGGAAACTTCTCACGCCCTTCATTTTGCACACTGGCAATAATTCAAGGAAATCCCATCAAGCATGTTAATTTTATACTCAAACTCTGCCAATAACTTTCTTCTTCGGGAGATTTTCATGCCTCGTCCGATTTTCAAATAGAACAGAACCAGAAGCAGCAATAAAGGCCGAGTGTCCAATTTTCGGCTCTTCGCTCAGGACGAAGAAAAAAAAATTTCATTCCAATCCAATATCTTTTCTGCTTCAATACATCGGGCATTTTAATAAGGAGCCAAAAAGCCGAATATCAAATTTCGTGGCTTGGATAGGAATATTTGACGTAGCAGGCTATCAAATATCTTATTGAGAGGACGGCAAAAGGTATTTGGAGGTACGGGGGATTGAACCCCGGACTTCTCACATGCGAAGCGAGCGCTCTACCACTGAGCTATACCCCCATGTTCATTGGCAGCGCCGCTTTCTGCACATCACACCTATTGAGGGGTCAGGTTTTTGGGTTGTTAATGTGAGGATTTCACGAAAATACTTCAAAAGGTAAGATAAGAGTTTCGGTTTGAATGAAAATTCGGAAAAAATAGGGAAAGTTGGAGAAAAATGCGTATAAAATATAAGGATCATGTCTGAAAAAGGGGAAAACCAGATACTTATTGAAAAAAATGAAGAAAATGAAAAAAATAAAAAAACAACTTTTTCAATTTTTTTATGTCGAAATCAACTAGAAAGGTCAGAAAAGTGGTTTTTTTCTGAAAATTTCCAATCCAAAAAGCCAAAAACGCCTTTTAAAAGGATTTTTTTCATATGAAGCTGAAAGAAACGCTCATTTTTTTGAAAAACTACTGTCTTTTTATTAATTTTATCAAACTTTATTGATTGATAAATACTCTATTTTAATGATTACTATGAAATTTCAGCGTTGAAAATCGAAAAAAATTCAATAAAAAAAGTGGGAAAATGCTATTCATAAAGCCTAAAAATCCTATTTTGGATTTTTAAAAATTCAGATTCTCGTTTTCAATGGCTGAGATTCCAGAAATAGACTATTTATACTGAACTTTAAATGAATATGTCTCAAAAAAATCATAAAAAGCTTCAAAAAGAAACTCACTGCCAGCGGTCGGCTCGAAAGCCTGGCGCAAAAAAACTTGTAGCGACGGATTTTTGACCATTTTTAAAAAAATAATTCTCAACAGAAAATAAGTTCCAAAGGTTCCTTTGGGGACAAGTAGAAAGGCGCAGTTTCTATTTTGTTAGTAGATAATGAATAATTGAGGGGAAAAGGCGCGACTTGACGGCCGAAATTTCGCCTTTTTTCTCGGCTCCCAAGGTGTTCTTCCATGAAGTTATTCGAGCGAAAAGTCACTTTCTGCTTTCAAAACAAGCTTGAACCCGGGGAAAGCTTCAAAAAGCAATGAAAAACATGGAAAAGGGCTTGAAATCCGGGAAATTTCCGCGGAAAAGGCGAAAAATGAGCAAAAAAAAATTATCGAAACTTAAAAAAATAGTCGAATTCAAAGCAAAAAGTTGTATGGAGACATGTAGAAACTTGGAAATTTAAAAAATATTCGTGAAAAAGTCGAAAACAATACCAAAAAAAATCGCGATTTGAAAAATACTCAAATTCGAAGCAAGAAGTTGAAATGAGGCATGTAAAAACTTGAAAATTCGAAAAAATGAAAAATGCTGGATTTTCATCAAAAACTCGGTAATGGCTCCAAAAAATTATTAGAAACTACCTATTTTTCGTCTTTTGGGCCATTTTCAATTCGAAAAAAACTGCACTTTCAAAAAACGACCTAAAAATGAGGAAAAATGATGAGAAATCCATCCGAAACCGAGCCACAAATAAGTGAAAAAATGGTTGAAAATTGTAAAAATTTAATGCTTTTCAAATCGCTAATCTTTCTGCAATAAAAAAAACTGAAACTAATTTACTCAATTCAAAAATTTAAATTTTTCTATTCTTTTCTTCGAAAAATTGATACCCGAACGTAAAAGGAATATCGAAAAATCTTCAAAATGAACATCATAAATATATAAATTGGAACGTATATCAACGGGATCATTACGGATCAGATCAATACAAAGGAAATGCAAAGAATAATTTTTATTTTTTTCAAAAAAACCAAAATAAAAAAATTAACTATATGAAAAATTGTTCATCAAAAAAATTTCATATTCCCAAATTTTTTTGACAACATGAAAAATTAAACTTTAAAAAAATTACTTCTCAAACGATTTTTTTAAAAAAACATTCAAAAAAATTATAGGAAAAAAAGAAAGATAAACCCGAAAAAAACTTCTTCAAAGGTTCAGAAATTAGGTTAGGATGGTCAGTTTGGACTAAAAAAAGTCGAAAAAAATCAAATTCTTTCAAAAATTATTCCCCAACTTCATGAAATCTCATTATCCCCAAAAATAAATAGGGAACTTCTGTTAAAAGGAATTTTTTTAAACCCTTGGAAAAAATGCCAAGCTTCAAGGCCAAAACGACAGTTTTAAGTCCTTTTTGAGCTTCTCAGAGCGGTCAAAAAAACTGAAGATGATCATAGAAGTTCAAAAAGTCCTGAAATATTTTGAAATAACCAAAAAATCAGGAAAAAAGCTATCTTTGAAACTCCAGAAATCGGGAAAATCTCAATTTATAAGTTAGATAAATCAAATTTCTAGCTTCATTAA